CACAGTCTGGGTGGTGTGGTGATTTTGGGGTTTTGCTGGCTGTGCTGGGGTGAATATTGGACTGGAKGATCTTGAAAGTCTCTTCCAGCCTTGATGATTCTATRAATGCCTTCAGGACAATGGATTTTACAGGGAGGAGGAATGAAATTTTGATCCACACCTAGTGAGAACACACCTTAATTTTTCCAGTTTTCAGAACATTGAGGGTAATAAACAGAACACAGGTGCCCTAATAAGTACCTTAAATTTATAATATTGATCCTGCAAAGCATGGGAACACAAATTTTAACAGAACTGTGACAGTRCCAGCATGTGGGCTGTGCCATTTGCTGTTTTTCCATCAGACCATTAAAGAAAGCCATTATAAATTCCATATAGATTGCTTAAGTCATACAGTGGCTCAASGATGACAGAGAGACTGTGAAGTGCCATCATTCAAGGAGGCTTCAGCAAGAATGCTTCTGCTGGCTTGGGCTGCTTAGGATGAAATCTGTGCAGTTAATGAAGGGGAATAATTCATGAGAGGAGATATTTGAGATACAGGTTGTGCCATCAATTTGTATTACATAAATACAGGCAGAGCAGCGAGGTGCGTTTGGTTTTTCAGCGTTAGTGTCAATCTGTGTAGGGCTGGTTTGGGGTTATCTGGGAATTAACTTGCAACAAATCTGCCATCCGTGGATTTGGACTGGTTCTGGTTGATCACATTAGCTTTTCTCTATTTAAAAGGAATGGTGCCTTAATGAGGGAGGCCTCTGGGGTTTAGAGTTAAAGGATTCCACATATGAAGGATGAAGGAGTGAGACTAGGTGTGGTAAAAATATTCTCATATATTCTGGTGATACTGGGCAGGAATTTTGTTTCTCTGCCATAGCAGGTTGATTCCATTTGCCATTTTCATTCATGAGGGCATCTGAAAACTGTCAGGGCTTGTGCTGGAAAGGAACATGTATGTCAAGGTAATTTTAAATGGATTTTGTGTTGAACAGTAGCAGAAATCCTCTCTCTAGTTTAGGTCTGCTTGCTAAGAGTCAGTAACTCATGTGCATCTCAATTCCTCATGTGTTAAAAATGAATAAAGTAGTGTTGACRTACATCATCACTTAAAAATTGTGTCTTTCTGTTGCCCTGATTTCAAGAGATTAAARCAGTCACAGATTTGTTGCTGACCTGCAAAAAATGTGGAATATTTGGATTCATATAATGCTTCAGTTTTTGAGGTATCTAGAAATAATATAGATTCTGTCAGGCTGAAAAAAAAATTTAAATCCCCCTCAACACTTTGATTTTAGCTGTGTCACAAAGAGAATCCTCTGCTTTATGGGCATCTGACTTGGGATGCCTCTTGGGGAATCTTCTGCCCTTTCCAGGCTGATTTCTTGACAGTCTTTACAAATTTATTGTCTGGAACATTCTGTCTGTCTGCTCAGTGAGATCTTTGTGTTGAGGAGGATTTTGGCTGCTGCTGGCAGTCTGCTCCTCTTGTTTGAGCAGCTTCACAGACGATGGAGCATCACCCTGTTGCTGCTCTGTGCTGGCCTTTGGAGCTGAAGGGAATGTGCTCAGAAATGTGGATGTCAGCTGGCCTTTGGWATTGACTCTCTGCCAGTTTGTGTCTCATTTGGGATACAAACTCAATGTTTGGGAGGCTTCCTTTACCCATCTGTGAAGGTATTGAATTGATTTCTGATTCAAAAAGCAGGCACACTGCTAAAAACAATCTAATTCAGCCTCTTTCTAGTGGCTTCCAGAGCAACTAATCCTTGCACAGACCTAAGGCAGCCAGTGCTTACTCACTGGTAACAGGTTAGGGTGTTCAAGGAATTCAGAATTTGTCCTTTCCTAAGAAAAACATCCTCTCCTTGCTTGACTTGGTGGAAAATGAAGGTTGTTAATCTGACAGTTGCTGAAGAATCAAACAGGGAAAACATTTTTTTTTTTTTTTTGCATGCTGAATCATTGCTCTGTGTGTTTTTTCTTCCCCTAAAGCCCCCTGATGTCCCARGAAGCAAGGAGCACGGATTGGGAATAAATGCCTGTGAGTGGGCTTTATGTCAGTGTCACTGTGGGATCATCCATCACTCCAAAAAGCCTTCCATGATTTTTGCCTATTAAATAGTAGGGCTTGATTCATGGTTCCTCTGCAGTTCTTTTATGCATTTTGCCACAGAGAACAAGCTCTGAGGCTGAACAGACTGCCATTTAGGTCAAAAAGTGTTGGTTCTGTAGCTGCCACCAGCCAGTGAAAAGCACTCCASTTAAGTCCTAATTTTGTGAAACCTATCCAGCAAAATAACTAGCAGTGATTAGGCGTTTTCTGGAAACGATTGTGCATGATATTGTCTGCAAAGGGAGAAATTTTCCTGTCACATTTTTATCTGAGGAAAACATTTACTGTGCTGACGTGGCTAGACTGGCATAAAACTGCTGCTATGGGTAGCTGATACATATTATATTAAAAAAGGATCTTTTCCAGGGCAAATCACATCTACCTTAACACGTGCCAGTTTGTTACCTTGTGGAGAAGATCCTAAACAATCTTATCTAGAGAAGATGGAGTAAAACARCACCTCACAAACTTCAGGGAAGATTTATGGCCTCAAGGGCACCTGTGCAAGGTTTTGTTGTTGCAGTTGTGTTGGTGGGACTCAGGTTTTAGTGTGAGACCCTGCTGCAAGAGGATCTTTGCTTGCTGAGGTTTCTATTCCTAAAAATGGTCACTGCAGCTGGGTGTATGCACAAATCAAAAATGTTTCTGTGAGCTTAGGTTTTCYTCAGTCCTCTTCTGCTGCAGGGGTTGGGCTCTGCACAAAATCCTGTAACTGTTTTTTAGTTCTGCAGTGCTCTGCTCCATGACTCACTGTCCATCAAACTTTTCTGTCAACTGTAGCTATGGGAATTACCATGGTTCCTTGAAATCCTTTTAGAAATAAGACAGTTATCCCATGAAACCTTTACTGAAATCAAGTTTATTTATATCTTTTCTATTTTTACATTAAAGAGTGATTTTTTTTCCTTAGGGCAT